CACCAATGTCTATGTTTCTATTAAATACATTTCATTTATTCTCTCTTTAGGAGAGTATTAACAACAGGCTTTGAGGATGCATGATATACACCATATTGTTTATTTATTCGGAAAAAAAAAATATTGAAGATGGGTCTGTATCAGATGTTTAATTGTCCATGTTCATGTCCCCTATACTTTTAGATTACATTTGCAGTCATCTAACATTCTCTTAAAGGAGTAGTTCACTTAAAAAAAAATTGCTGATAATTTACTCACCCCCATGTTATCCAAGATGTCCATGTCTTTCTTTCTTCAGTCGAAAAGAAATTAAGGTTTTTGATGAAAACATTCCAGGATTTTTCTCCATATAATGCACTTTAATGGGAACCAAACGGTTCAAGGTCCAAAAGACAGTTTCAGTGCAAACTGCAAACTGTTCAAAGGGCTTTAAACGATTCCAGACGATAAGTAAGGGTCTTATCAAGTGAAACGATCACTCATTTAAAAAAATAACAAAGTTTAAGTTTTATAAGCTCGAATGCTCGCCTTGCTCTGTTCTGTGACGCACGTTCGTGACTCTCCTGTTCGAATTTGTTCATCAAAATAAACAAATCTTTTTCTGAGTCAATTCATTCATTTCGTTCGTTGAATGAACCAAATGACTAAAAAAAAGATTTGTTTATTGTGATGAACGAGTTCGAACAGGAGAGTCACAAAAGTGCGTCACAGAACAGAGCAAGGCGAGCATTTGAGCTCATAAAACTAAATACTTTGTAATTTTTTTAAATGAGTGATCGTTTCGCTTGATAAGACCCTTACTTATCGTCTGGAATCGTTTAAAGCCCTTTGAACAGTTTGCAGTTTGCACTGAAAGTGTCTTTTGGACCTTGAACCGTTTGGTTCCCATTAAAGTGCATTGTTTGGAGAAAAATCCTGGAATGTTTTCATCAAAAACCTTAATTTCTTTTCGACTGAAGAAAGAAAGACATGGACATTCTTGGATGACATGGGGGTGAGTAAATTATCAGCAAAAGTTTTTTTTTTTTTATAAAAGTGAACTACTCCTTTAAAGGCAGTTTTAAAATACTAATCATTTAATAACACTTTAATGTAATATTAACCAAATCTCAAAATGAATGTACTTTTTTTTTTTCACAATGAGCATTGTAATGTTGTGATACCTAACTTCACTTGTAGCATTTGAGACAGTTGATTTTTCTAGTTTCATTTTTAATTTATTCAGACAAAATAGTGTAAATAGTATTTTTAGCATATTTATTTACATGAAAATAATTACCGGATTTTTGGTATTGGCTGGAATTTTAATGTCTGTGCATCTCAAAAACAATTCTGTACTTTCTGTCTATAGTGCTATGTATCTACTCCCAAGGTTTCATGTTGGGAATCATCTTTCTAAAATATCCGCTTAAGATAAAACCCCACAGGCAAAAACAGGAGAGAGAAAATTGTCCTCCCTCAGGAGGTGAGAAGGAGCTTCTGGGATTTTATGGCAGGCCGAGGGGGATTTTACCCAGGTGTTCACCAAGGGGCAAAGCTGGCTCCCAGCTGCCAGCTGTCACTACCAAGTGGGGAACCAAGAGAGAGCCAGTGACCCAAAAACCTCCTCCTTGAGCACAAACCCCCTCCTCTCCTCATCGCTCCTCTGCTTTTCTGTGAGTCTGTATTTGAACATTTAATTTACACTGCAAGATGTGCAACAGGGACACTGCGCTTGTCTTGCGTCGTGTCGGAGATGTCCACGTCGTGTACATCGATTTCCATGTGTTTGCATTTGCATTGACATGGGAGTAAAGCAGAGCTTTGTGAGGCAGTTGAGTGGGAGGCAGCCTCTATACACAATGGCTGATGATTTTGCTCTGTTCCCTCCTCCGCTGAAGTGCCAGAGCATCCTTCCTCCCCAAAGTGCACCTCTCCAAACATGCAATGATAGCACTGATTTTAATTACCTCTCACGACTGTCGAGGTTGTGGCTGCCTGACGCACAGCGGGGAGGATCTTTTGGATTTATCTCTGGAAACACCTGCACTGCTTTTACTCTCTCTCCATGCTAGACAGATGTGTTCGGTCATCTCCTCTAAGCAATACTTAATGTCTGAAGTCTGAATAGGAAAAAATGAAATGGTAATACAAAATGAGTTCTACTAAAACTAACATTGCAAAGGTATTTATATACATGTAACGATAATTACAGTCATCTGCCAGTGTTATATAAGACATAACAAGTCTCTTCCTTTTTGCTTTCCCTTTCTGCATAAACACCTGCTCTAACAAATTAGATGGCATGACGAAGTCTTTCTTGGGCCGTCGTACCACAAACTCTTCACAAGAACCTCTGGGGGATGTGTTTGGGTCCCTTCACCTCATCAAACCCTGCTGCTGTCTTCAAAGCAAGAGATGCACAAATGAACACAGTCAACTTGAAGGAGATCTTGCAAAGGGGTGATGATGTGGATTAGCAGAAGTGTTACATAACAACGTGTTTGTGAGTGAAGCTGACTCAGAGGCAAATTTATTTGTTTTATTGAATTATCGTGTTCCATAAAAGTTTGGGGATCGATAAGAATTATTGATGTTTTAGAAAGAAATCTCACCAGAGCTGCATTTAAAAATTGGAATATTTCTGAAATATTAAATATTTTTGAAAATGTAATGTAGTCCTGTGATGGCAAAGCTAAAATTTCAGCATCATACTCCAGTCTTCAGTGTCACATGATCCTTCAGAAATCAGTCTATGATGATGTAGTGCACAAGAAACATTTCTTATTATTATCAATGTTAAAAACAATAGGTTTTATACTTTTTGATAAATGAATAGGAAGTTCAAAAGAATTGCATTTACTGGTAGAAATTGCTGCCTAGGAGAAACAACTGGTATATTACAGTAAAACAAAGACTAGTCACACCCATTTAAAGATATGGGGGAGAGTAAATGAAATGTCCAAAAAATAAATTAAATAAAAAATGCAGTGTCATTCTGTGAAGTGGAATGATTTAATCCAGGGCTTACAAAGCCAGAACAGTCAAATTCATATAGCCCATGTGTTGAAGCTGCACAGCATATCCACGCACAGTGTGTCCCCTGAAGGCCAGTGTTTGAGCAAAATGAACTGGATTTACTGATTGGCTGTGCAAAGCAGTCTGTGGTAATAAAGACAGCTAGGGGCTGCTGGGGAAGAAATAGTAAATGGCAGACAAGTAGGTGACCATCAGTCACTCCTTCCTTCTGAGAAAATTAGAGCTTGATGTGACAGCTGAGAGCCAAACGTTCCTCACACTCAGGGGCAACAGAAGAGTGTGCATCTCACAAGTTCAGATGGAGTGTTACCATGAGTAAGCAGCCTGACTGTGAACCCATGCAGGTAGTCGTCGGTGGACTTTTTGTTGTTGTAATATGCAGTTGGTTCAGGTAGATTATATATTCATGAGTTAAACCGCAAGTCAGGACATGCCTCGAGCAGATAATATCGACCTCTAACATCGGAAAGAGAAAAAATATGACTGGCTAGTATTCAGCCTCCATCAAAAGACACCGAAATTGGCTAAATGTTGATGATTAAAATGTGGACAGAGCTGTATGGCTGCAATATTGTCGGCATGTGCTTGTGTCCAGCATCCAACACAAACTACCGACGGTGCTGCACCTTTAAATGTGTTCTCCAAATGCCTGAATGGATTTGCACACACACACACACATGAACACTATTGCATAAGTAGCCTAGCTCTAATTCGGACTGATGTTGCAAGTGTTCTTTGGTGTTTCAGTCGCACACATTTGTAATTTATCAGATCAAGAGGGAATAACTATTTTCATTCACGTTCTGTATTTTAATTGTGAACACAATGAGCAAATATCCATATACTGCAGATACATGGAGAAGAATAAATAGTGCACAGATGCTTTCTGAAAATAAACATTTTGCTGGCATTGGTCGACTTAGCTAGCTTTCTTGTCACGACAGATTAAATCCCACACATGAAGAGAACAGGGATTGTTGAGAAAAAATTACTGTAATGTTTTCTATTAAAAAAAGGGAGTTATGCAGTCTCTTTGTTTCTCTAAGTGCAACATTTTGCAACAGATAAGAATTTTGAAGTTTGAAAAACTGAAGATGCCGTCTCTTGAAATCTAGGCCATAAAAATGAAGAAGCCTATTCCAATGCATTGCTGTTAAACATTGTAGCCTGTGATTAACCAAGAACTAAAACAAAATATCGGTGTTGAACTTGAAAACGTTTTTGGTTTCAGATTGAGCATATTAAAAATAGACAAGAGTGCATGTTTGTTTAATGCTACAAGCAGCACAATATCTCTAGTATGACGTGGGCTTCTACGATAATTTGTATAGTCCGCCATCTGGTGGTTATAAATCATAATTCCTCTCCTAATAAATTAAAAACAAAGTGGGCTGAAATAATTTACACTGGAAAAGGTTTGGTTATTATCGCATATCTGTAGTAGCCTAATTAATATAGTAAAATATAAATTAAAATGCAACTAATTATTATAACAAGCTAATACCCAAAGAAATGTAAATGGATTTTTATACGAAGTGTAACTTTTATAAAGTGCTGCATAACTAGACCAGTGTAGCCTTTTACGAAAACATTTTGTCTGATCATTTTTTATCCGTGCATTTTATATATTATTTGGCTTTGGTGACCAATGTAAGGAAACGGAAAAGCAATGTAGCCTAATACTATTTATTATAACTATTTATTATACTACTAGCCTAGCCTACTAATTCTAAATTAGGACGAAATTTCAATGTTGCAAAAATCTTCTAACAAATATGTTCTGGCATTTAATGAAACAATGCACCCTGAAAACGATCTTTAAATGAGTAACATAAAAAATATATATATTTCTGTGATTTGGGTAAGGTTTTTATTTGTTATTTGTAGTACTGTAATCTGTTGACGTTCCGCAATTGGTAGTCTCTGCGCATGCGTAGTCGTTGCCCCTCCTAGTGACGTCTTCATTCTTTGCCCCTGCGTTTTCTGCGGAAACCCCCTCGAATGCGTGTAGTTGTCGAGTTGTTTTCGAAAGCTTATGTAGTCGGCACGGTTTAACTGTGATTTAAACATATATGTGGTCACCGGTGTTTACGACGGGGCGACTGGATTACCGCGGCAGTATCTTGATAAAAGGAGGACCGGTTTTCTTGCTCATTTTGTTTTAGCGTTTTGTAATGGTTTTGCTATAACGTTAGTCTTTTGTTGTTTTTTTTGTATGTGTGATGGACGCCATTTTAGGTTGATCACACTAGCTGCTACTGCTAGCACATTGTTTCAGGCCTTGCCTCAAACTACGTCGGTTTGTGTTGTGTTCAAATTTGGACTACACCGAACAAACATTTCGGAGGAACTTCGAAACGGACACTTGGGCGACATATTTGGCAGGACTCTACACGTTCACCTATATGGACACCGTTTGAACTCTTTATTTCTTTGTCAGAGTTGGACCTTACGGACAGCTCGCGGCTAACCGCCATATGGCCCTGGGACTTTGAGAACCGCAGGAGAGTTTCTGGCTTCGGCCGGGGAATTCCGTGGACTAAAAGTCACTTTCGTCATAAAGATTGCGTGTTGCACTTGATCACAATCTCTTTGAACACTTGATATTTTCAAATCGCAGTTATTAACTTGAGGCAAAACCCACACGACCTCTTTAGTGGTGACTCTTGATTAAAGAGAGTGTTGAGATGAGCAAATATGGCTATTAATATGCTTGAATTGTTAAGCTGATAAACTGACATTGAGTAAGGTTGATCGCTGGGAGAGCCCACGTGATCGTGCGAATTGTAGTTGAGTTTGGTTGTGTGTGGTGGTATCTGACCACAAGGATTGTTTAAACATGTCTTGTGTCCATTACAAGTTTTCTTCTAAACTTAACTACGATACGGTCACCTTTGATGGCCTTCACATCACGCTCAGTGATTTGAAACGCCAGATCATGGGGCGAGAAAAGCTGAAGGCCGCGGATTGCGACCTACAAATCACCAACGCTCAAACTAAAGAAGGTAAGATAAGCTGGTCAAATGAGTTGCTTACACACTATCTTTGAGGTTGCTTAAAACTAATATTTACGTGACCTGAAAGATTGCATGTATAATAAATTTTTGTCAGAGAATGTTTTTATTATTGTAGAAATCTCAATGCTAATGTACGTTATGCTAGCTAAGCGTACGGTAATACGGCTAAATCCTGACGGCCAACAGCGGTTTTTTACTTAATTAAGTCGAGTTATTACGTTTGTCAAATCAACTGTCATGAATATTATGGTTAGTAAGTTATATTTATGAATGTTAGTTCAATTTATACGTTGATTTTCCCGCATACTTGTGCCGTGAAGACTCCATTTTGTATAACGTTAGTTTACGCGTCGTTTCTTCTCCATGATATCACTTAGAAAGAAATTATGGAAAATTCGGCATGTTGATTAATGACTTTGTCGTTCTTGCCTTTGCTTACAGAATACACTGATGATGGTGCCCTCATTCCCAAAAACTCTTCTGTCATCATCAGACGAATCCCTATTGGAGGGCTTAAGTCGACAAGCAAAACATATGTCATGTAAGTACACTGACACTTAAATTAGCTTTTTCCATCTGCTCTGCAGTGTTTATAGTCTTGTTTTGTATGCATGTTCTCAAAGCACAGCCAACTAAAATTGCCAATCCAAATTTTCATTCTCACTAAGAATGTTCTCTTACACCAAAATTGTCGGTTTATTTGCATTTGTTCTATGTTTGGAAAAGCAGTGGATAAACAATTGCATTTGGAGTCAACCCTGTCCCAAACTGTATTTTCATTGTATGAATAAGAGGAATTGTGAATATTGCTACTGCTGTTTCCAAACTACTTTTAATCCCTGGATGAAAGTCCGGTTAAAATACAGGTTAAAGGCAATATTCTAATGACAATTTATTTGAAGTATTCTTTAAATGTCTTAATATAAAATAGTGATCTGTATTTTTTTGTAGGCAGGTTGAAACAAATCCAACAGAGGTGAGTTCAGAGTTATTGGGATACTTTAAAGGGATTGGTCACCCAAAAATGAAAATTCTGTCATTTACTCTCCCTTATGTTGTTCCAAACCTTTTGGAAGTTTTTTTTTTTTCTTACTATAAAAAAAAAGAATTTTTGACGAATGTTGGAAAGGAAAGGAAAAGAACACTATGTAAGTCAATGGCTACCATCAACTGTTTGATTACAGTCGTTCTTCAAAATATATTTAGTGTTCAGTTGAAAGAAATTCATACAGGTTTGGAACTACATGAGGTTGAGTAAATGATGACAGAATTTATTTTTGGGTTATCTATCTCTTTAAAGTGTCCCAATCACCCTGAATCCCTTTAAGATGAAAAGGTGTCCTTATCCACCTGAATTCATCCCATCCTTTTTTTTTAGCCTTAGCAGAGCGTAATTGGCAACTTTAGAAATACACCTCATTTCAGTTAAGCAGTTGTGGCCTTGCAGTTAATGTTGAAGAATTATCAGTGTTGAGTAATTTTAATTGGAAGTTAACCTCTTTTGTTGTTGTTTTGTTTTGCAGCGATCGATCTGAACCAAGTGGATCTTCAAAAGCAGTATGTAAAAACACCTCATTTCCTTGTCTCATTACACACATTTTCAAACTCCTCACCAGTTGCTTTGTCTTGAAACAATTTAAGACATTTTTTAATGCTCCTCAGTGTTGTCTTTGAAACCTGTTTGAAGATAACAAAGTGTGTTGAGCTTAATGTTTATATTGTGTGATTCGCTAAAGCTGTTGCGTTGATTTTCATGTTTTTATACAATTTCCAGAGTGTACAGAAGTCTGTGCGCATGCCAATACACTGTTTCACATTGAATAAGTCATCTACAAATATGAATTCTGTTGTACAGTGTAGTGTAAGATCATATTGATCTACATAATACTTGAACATGGCCAATATTCAATTTGTTTGTCCTTAAAGTGGCACATCTGTAAAAAGCTGTGTTTTTTTGTTTTGTTTGTTTGTAAATAAAAAAAATACATTGTGTTATTTAACTTCACCTTGTATCATACAGCTTCAGTGTCTGACTACTTATGTTTACTCAATTGCTATTATAAGGCACAATAGTTTGATTTAGTTGTGTGGATGTATGAGTGTGAGAGACTGGAGTTTTTTTTTTTTTTTTTTTATCAAAGTGTGTTACCTAAAACATAATGAGCCTTGCCTTGGACTAACTGACAAGGTGAATCGAGTATTTTTTGCTGGCGATTTGTTCTTGACTTGGCTCAGTGTTTTGGAAACTGGCTCTCGGCGTTCAAAGGATAGTCAAACGAGACTTGGTTCTTTTGTAGCTTTAAAGGGTTAGTTCACCCAAAAATTAAAATTCTGTCAGTATTTACTCACCCTCATGTTGTTCCAAACCTCTATGTGTTTATTTGTCCTGCTGAACACAAAGGAAGATATTTGGAAGAATGTTTTAATCAAACAGATCTCATTCCCCATTGATAGTATGTATTTTTTCCTACTATGGTAGTCAATGGGGAATGAGATCTGTTTGATTAAAACATTCTTCCAAATATCTTCCTTTGTGTTCAGCAGAACAAATAAACACATAGAGGTTTGGAACAACATGAGGGTGAGTAAATACTGACCGAATTTTCATGGGTGAACTAACCCTTTAATGATAAAATCTTCGTTCATGGAAAACAAATTACCTTTAGTTGTAGAACTGAATTTAAATTCCCTGCTCTAGTTAAAATTGTACTCTTAATTATCTGAATTCTGAGTCTAATTTACGTTAGATTAATTTTTCAAATTTGTGTTTTAAGAGGGCCAATTGTTGCAGAAATTGTACATCTTGGGTAAAAAGTCAGTGTGAGTGAGATGGTGATTCTTGGGCACAACTTCTGTAATTGCAGAAATCGTTTCAGCTAGCATTTGTCATTCTGACATGGCAAATTGTGATTATTCTAACAAAATTTCTTTTTATCACCACCCTCTTTTTTTGAACATTGTATTTTTAATCTCCACAGAAATCTGCTTATTCATATTTGAATCATGTGACTTGTACTTTTTTTCCATATTTGATGTCTTTCTAATGTATGCAAATCAGCTACTGGGCCAGTTGCATAAACTTGGCCACTATGTGGTTAAGACTGTCTCTTGAGAACTGGTTTGACTGACTTTTTCAAATCTAATAAGATCAATCCACCTTTTTTATGTAACAGACGTAAAAAAAAATAATTAGGACCAGTCTTGAAGGAAAAATGTAGATGACTAGTCTAAACAGTTTATGCAACCGGCCACCGAGACAGATGAACTATGCAACAAACAAACAAACAAAATTCTTTGTGATAGCACTTGTAGTTTGCTTCTCTCCCATGTACTTATGTGATGTTGAGACCCAAACTAGCTATAAAACAATTGACCCACTACGAGGCACATTATGTAGGACACTTATTTACAAAAGTACCTAATTCCAGTGGACAGTTTTAAATACACATTTCATATTCTATATGGCCTGTTGTATTAGTTATATTTTCCATATGAATAAATTGCATTTTCTATATGACTTACTGTACAATAAAACTTCAGTGTTTAACTCCCTCACATCTTTCTTAAGGCCCTGTGTGTTCACTTTCCATAGGGTTTTTTGATGAGTTACATCTTTCTTATATTACAAGTACCGGTAATTGCCTTGGTCTGTGAAACATGGCTATGAAGCTATACTTTTTTTCACAGTGTTCAGTGATTCAAAGCTCAAAAATATCCATTAACTGGTTATGACTAGTGTTGTCAAACGTACCAGTCGGTACAAACAAATGTTGACGGTACCAGCATTTCTCTAGTACCGGGTATATTCGGTACCTGCTGATAAATGCTGCTTTTTAAACTCGCTCGTTTAAGTGTTCTGAGCGTCAAATGTTTCTATTTGTAACGTGTTTTTACAAGCGTTTCGCCAATCATATCTGTTGACCACGTGAACACGATGGCCTATTAGAGGTGCTTGTCAGAATTTGCCCAACACCTCTGAAAGCTCACAAAGTTTGGATTTATTACACGTGAGCCGCATACTCATAAATCCTATCATTATAACCAACAAAGTGTAAACGAGATTTATTGTACAATTAAGACAGGCTTTTTTGTTTGTTTTAACGCAAGTTTTCGCCAAGAGTGCAGAATTCATTGAGCTTGGGCTTCAGAGATTGACAGTCTTGATCATTATTAAGGGCTCTTCACAATCTAAGTCAGTTTTTCATTCTGCAAAGTTTCTGTATCGACAGCAGTTTTTACATGCATGATTGAATATGAAACTGTAATGATTTCAATGATAATCAATAGATGAGATTAAACGGAACAAACCATTTCGAATTACTTGATTCAACAGTTTTTGCTCTGGTACTGAGAACCGCAAAACTTTGGTTTCGTGACAACCCTAGTGATGAACTTATTCAAGATAAATATATCATGTTCTATTAACTATGGTGTTTATATTTTTAAATGCTTTTAAATAAATTTTGTGTCTTTCCATTAGGATTTGGTTGAAATATTACTAATTGTGTTATATAGTGTTAACTTTGAAGACTTATTTGTCCAGATTCTCTCTATTGGGCATGATAGATTTGTGCCTTGTCATAGTGGTCAACCCCTCTTTGTTTTAATGTTTTTTTTCCGATGACAGATTGATGATTCTTCATCCATTTCACTGGCCCTGCTTTCAAAGGTATTTTAAACTCTGTAACTACTTGATAACACTGTTCTACTGTTTCTAACTTCCGTGTTTTGGATTTGGCAAGCCATAATGTAGGCACAAGTGTGCAATATCTTTTTTTTTTTTTTTTTTTTTTGTCAAATCTTGTGTTTTGTCACATCTAGCTTGTTTATATATGCTTAGAATGTTAAGTGAATGTAATACTCTGTGAATTTGTATGTTTTGCATTTGTGACAAAATTGCTTATCAGTAATAATACTGAGAATTTAGCATTTTGTATTTTGAAATGATCAAATCAGTTATTAAATTTCTGTAAGATTAATATTTAGTTATTTGTATAATTGTGTTGATACTTGTGAAAGCCTGGTCCTGTAAAGAGTGAGCCAACTGCCTTTCATCAGTGTGAAATAGAATGCTAATTGCAGGTGTTGAGATTTTTTTTTTCTAAATTGAAAAATTAAGCACTCTGCCTGGAATCCTGTTGTGATCTTTTGTTCATTTTTCGCAATGAAGATCAAATCTCTGCATTTCTTAAATTCCCTCGGCTATTCACTTGTCTTGTGCATTTTTTTTTTTTATTTTTTTTGTAAAGCAATATGAGCAGTCTTCACAAAATTATAATTTTCTATATACTGGGCTTTAAAAACACCAGAAGCATTTTCTCTATTATGGATAATGGATTAATTGTCTTTATTGTTGTCAAAAAACCTAAAAATTTTGGCGCAACAGCAATATTGAATTTCAGGTTGATCATGCCATTGTAATTTGGTATTGTGTACATGTCTTATGCTCTGACTGCATTTCATGTGTTAGTGTGAAATCTTTTCTTCACTTGCCCAAGAGACATTCCAATAAAACTAAATAGACTCTTAGACAATGGGCAATGCATGTGTGTAGTTGGTATTAAGTCTTGCATGAGTCGTTGATTGTCTTTTGATTTTAACTTTATACTTGTTATTTTGCGTTAATATATAAAATGGGTTTTGTCATTTCATGGCCTGAGGTGGTACTCACTTATGTTTTAGTATTTTGAATGATCTCGCACTGATAGAGGCAAGAAGCTGCTTCTTACAGGACAAGGTTTCAGTAAATCTCTGGGCTCGAATGAACATTCCAACATTGATTTTATGTGACAACATTATTACCTGTTAAACAGACAGCCAATCTTGCTGAAACAAATGCTTCAGAGGAAGACAAAATAAAAGCAATGATGTCTCAGTCCAACCATGAGTATGACCCAATCCAGTAAGTATGCAATTCAAGACATTGACATCTTATTTAAAATTGCTCTCAGCGTCATTTCTAACATGAATCTCTATTCATTAGTTATGCAAAGAAGCTTGTTGGTCCACCTCCACCAAACTACACATGCTTTCGTTGTGGAAAAACTGGACATTATATCCGAAACTGCCCAACGAATGGGGTAATTGGGTTTTCATTACCACAGCTGCTTTAATATTACAATTGATTTGAACTTGGTGACACTTACTATAACTTTTCGTGTGCGTAAATTTTTTTTACCATAGTATGCTCATTTAGTCAGAGAAGAAATTTAATCTTGCATATCAAATGTGCGTTAGCAGGATCGAAGTTTTGAAGCTCCTCAACGGATAAAGAAAAGCACAGGAATTCCTCGGAGTTTCATGGTGGAGGTTGATGATCCAAACAGAAAGGGAGTCATGTTGACCAACAGTGGAATATATGCCATTCCTACTATTGATGCGTGAGTATACTTGGCCTTCTTGTAAGGGTTTGTTTTAAAGGAAAATTCATATTTTTCACTTCTGACACAATTATGCAAAACCATCAGAGTAGTGTCCTCGATTAATCATATTACGCTTGCTTTTAGTGAGGCCTATGCCATTGGGAAAAAAGAGAAGCCACCATTCTTGCCCCAAAATCAATCTTCATCTTCAGAGGAAGAAGATCCTGTACCTGATGAGCTGCTGTGTTTGATCTGTAAGGATCTAATGACTGATGCTGTGGTTATCCCCTGCTGTGGAAATAGTTACTGTGATGAGTGTAAGTGTCTATATAAAAAACATTTGCCAGAAAGATTAAGTGTTTTTGACTTGTGGAAGCTAACAATCTTTTTACCGCAGGTATTCGGACATGTTTGCTGGAGTCTGAAGAACATGTTTGCCCAACCTGCAAACAATCGGATGTATCTCCTGATGCTTTGATCGCAAACAAATTCTTGCGCCAAGTAAGAAATCCCTATCTTAATCATTGTTAAACTGCTGTGTTTTTGCTTCTAACTTAATAGTATATCATTAACACAAACATTTCTATCCAACCCCAGGCAGTGAATAATTTTAGGAATGAAACCGGATATACCAAGAGGATTCGAAAAGCTGCAGCTGTTACACAAGGAGCCCAAACGCAGGCTACTGTCCAGCGGCCACCTCTGAGACTGGCAACCTCACGCCAGCAGGACCCTCTCATGGCCAATGTTCCGAGCTCCACAGCTGATAGCAGCCCTCCCCAAAGCACACCTGCTGCCCCTTTATCTCCTGTTATCACTCATCAGCCCTCCAGTACTCCACCTTCTTCTAGCACCTCTACTGTACACAGCAGCACCGCACCTGCAGCATCAAACTATAGCCCTGTGGTGAACTCTCCTCAGCACTCTGCTAGGCAGGATGACCCTCCTTCATCTAAGTAAATAATTCTCTAGCACTTCAGAGGAGCCACTGGTGTAAAACATGAGGTACCCGACTCGAGTATGTCTATGCAGGTGTTAATTTTTTTCTTTTTCTTTTTTCTCAGGGAATCAGAGGTCTCAGCATCTACTGTCGTGCCTTCTTCGGAAACCTCTGTCCCTACAACTTCATCTTTTCCCAAGGTATTACCTTTTTACAGAGTTTTAAGTTAGCTAATAAAAGAGAATTACATAGACTAATAGAGCCATATTACACAAGCAAGAGTATTTCCGTTAATACTAAAATATTGAGGAAAAATTACATTTTAGATGCAATATGCAGCATTTTTTTTCTTTGTCAGTTATAAATTGTTCACTTACTATGTTGCAAACAATACAATATAATTTGAATTCTGTATTGCAAAAACAGACAAGCCAAGTAGAGAGATTTACTGTAAAGCCTTTAACTTGTTTGCATGAGTACAATTGAGTGATCCCCCCCACCCATTTGTTTTGCCTAGGGATTCCATGTCCCAGTGATTGGAAAGCCGAATATGCCTCAGCACCACATGCACAGACCAGGTAAGATAATATCAACACTATCTAGGTGAGTTTTTTTTTGACTTGGTGGTTTTTGTTATTTACAATTCTTCCCCTTTTTAGGACAGCCAAGGACTAGTGGACCAAGGCCAACTGGAAGCCGTAGTGCGTGGGATCCGTAAGTATCAAAGAGTAAAATCTTTAAATATTTAAGCTTGATTCAAAAAAAGATGAATATTTGAGTCCAGTCTATTCATCCCATCAGGTCCACAAATCGAGGGAGAGGTCCTAGTGAGCGACCACAAAGAACACAGCCTCCACCAGTCCAAAATCTTCCGCCTGTTATCCCTCCAGTGTATGGCCCTCCTGCTCTATTTCCTCCTCCACCACACCCTATGCCTCAGCCTCCTGGTGTTGTTCCTCAGCAGTATCCCATACAGTATCCTCCTGGACAGCAGCCTCCCCCTCCCTTCAACATTCCACCACCTGTATTTCCACCTGTCCCACCTGTGACAGCTCCGTGGGTGCCTCCTGGTGCCCAGCCACCTATAGCCAACCCTATCTCTTCTATGCCAGCAGCACCTTTTCTATCCAAGGAGGAGTTTTACCGACAGCAGCGTAGACTTAAAGAAGAGTATGTAGAGTTTTTACACATTAAATATGTGTGTGTGTGGGGGGGTATAACGTCAATATAAAAAAAATAACTAGGGAATTACTGAAAACTGATGATTTTGGTTTAATTTAATGTAAGTGGCGATTGATAGCCTAGTTTATAATATATAGGCCTACCTAATGTACTGACGGGAACAAGGGGGTAAAGCCTCTATTTAGGCTATTAATTTTGGCATTTCCATTAAGGAAGTGCAATTTTGCCAAAAGTAGAACTTTTTATTTTAAATAAAATTCGGGCAACTCAAAGTGCACCAGATTAATGAATTTATCTTTAAAATGTACAAAATGTTCTTATGGGTGGCCATACCCCCTGACCTCCCCCCAGAGGTGGCGAGGTCCACCGGGAAACAGTATATAATGGTCTACAAAAAATAAAACATTTTTAATTCTTATCAAAATGCATGCATGATCAGGATTTGACCTCTTCCGCCTCGTTTTGAGCCTGGAAAAACCCTATATATATGTAATTTATTTATTGAATTGGTTAATTGGCTCGTTCCTCATATGGTTATGTGGTTGTTTTGATTGAAGCATTATGATTTATTTGTGTCTTCTGAGAGTTAATTAAATATGGATTGTGTAATTGAGTGTTGTGTGGATTCTTCCCCTCTCACTCCTAATAATAATGTGTGTTGTAATGAATAACCAAATTTTAACTGCAAAGTTTTATTTCCTTCCTGTCTTTGATAAATAGTTCCCAATGTCGATTCGTTACCAGGGAGAAGTCGTCCAAACTTGAAGAGTTTACCAATGACTTTGCCAAAGAGCTTTTGGAGTATAGGAAGATCCAGAAGGAGAGAAGGCGATCCTACTCTAGGTTAGGATAAATACAGGTCCAACAGTAAGCTGTCATTTTTGATGGGAAATGTTTGGCATCATCTAAATTGTCCTAAATTTACTTTTTTTCAGATCAAAATCTCCATACAGGGGTTCTTCCTACAGTGGCTCATCATATTCTTATTCAAAATCTCGCTCTCGGTCCAGATCACCACGTTCCTACTCTCGATCACCATCCCGGTCTCGGTCAAGATCGCGCTCCCGATCACGCTCCTTCTCTCGCTCGCCATACTCTCGGAGGGGCCGAGGTCGAAGCCGTAGCTATCGATCCAGGTCACGGACTCCTACATACCATCGCTCCCACAGTAGATCTCCATCATATAGGGGTCGGGAGATGAGTGGGATGGGAGGTGGAATTTATCGGTCTCGCTCCAGATCTCCAATGTATAGAAATCACAGTCCCAGCAAGAAACTCCCTCCCCCTTCTCAAAATGAGGGTGAGCGCAAATACACAGGGAGGTACAGAGAGCTCCCTCCTTATGATGCTAAGGCTTATTATGGTCGAAATGTAGACCAGAGTGACCCCTATGAGAGAGAGCGATACAGAGAGTGGGAAAGAGAATACAGGGAGTGGTACGACAAGTACCTTAAGAGTTATAACAACCCACCAAGTGGCCAAATGAGGGGCCGTATTCCAGGCACCAGAGATCCCTTTACTCCTGAGCGTTTTGCTCCTCCCCGACCTAGAGAAAACTCCCCCTATGGCAGGGGACGTCGGGAGGACTACCCGCCACCACCTCAGAGCCACAGTGTTCCTCCAAGAGGCAGAGTGGCAATGACATACCAAGAAAAGTGTGCTGAGAAGTATGGCCACCTTCATGTCAACACCACTGGAGCAGTGAGAGGATTTAACAAAGATTCTTCGAAATCTATCAAGGACCGAGAACCAAGTGGCAGCACTGCTACAGACACCAAGTCACTGAAACATAAGAAACATCGCAAAAAGAAAAGAGATGATGATCTATTCAGCCACTCTGACTCTATGGATGATTCCAGAAAAGATGATCGTAAAGGGGACTCCTTGCTGATTAATTCAAGCCGTGATGATGCCACACCTGTCAGGGATGAGCCCATGGATAGTGCTGCAGTGCCCTACAAGAGAACCCCTGAAAAGGAGAAGAAAGAGAGGACTAAAAGCAAATCTGACAAAGGTAAACGAAGGTCTGAAAGCAGTGGGCAGAAGGAACCATCGGGCAAGATCTCAAAATCTGTTAGAGAGAAGGAATCTGATGCACCGCGAGAGAAGGGGGCTCCCACTGAACCAGCCATTAAGAGAGTCAAAGACGAACCATCCCACAAATCTGAAATAAGTAAACCTCAGTCTTCAGAGTCCAAACTCATGCTCCCACGCAAGTTGATGCAGTCTAGGCCCATTAAACACCACCAGGAGCTGAAGCCCATCAAAGATGAGATCAAAAGCAGGAAGGAATTGGTGAAAGACCTTCCAAAGCAAGACAAAGTATCTGACAAAGATGGGAAAGTCCCCAAAAAAGAGCAAGAGAAGCCTGTGAAAACTGAGGAGAAGATGCACACCAAGGCATCAAGAGAAGTTCCCAAACAGGAGAAAAAGAAACGGAAAGATGACAAGCCATCTGCGAAAGACCTGGATGTCCCTCCTGTAAAAGTAGCAAAAATGGAAGTTGACGTGGTCAAAAGCTCTCCAAAACCTAAACCCAGATTGGAGAGTGAAAGGCCAGTTGAGAAGGAGAAAGTAGCTATTCCGTCTCTGATGGATATTAAGCCTGAGCCTGTAAGAAAGATTAAAATCAACAGGGAAATTGGCAAGAGAATATCTAGCATTGATCGGCAAGTTTCAGCTGAGGACTCTGCTCATGCCACAGGAAAGGGCAGGCTAGACAAGTCTAGAGGAAAATTGAGAAGGAAGGTGCATGTTTCTGATGGGTCTGGATCCTTATTGGTTGATTACACCAGGTAAGAGAAATTAAATATTAATAATTAACTTAATTAACTTAAGTCTTATTTTCTGTACCATCCATTTATTCATATTTGTTGTCTTTGGCAGCACCAGCTCCACAGGAGGAAGCCCCATCAAAAAGCATGAGGATAAGCTTGACCTGAAGAAGACTGTGGTAAAGACCCTGGAGGAATACACTAATGACAGCTCCACCCCTGCTGAGGACGAAATCGTCATGATACAGGTGCCCCGTTCCAAGTGGGAAAAGGAGGACTATGAATCTGAGGACGATGATTCTAAGGTTGCAACTAGAAAAGATGGCATCAACACATCCAGTTCTGCTCCTTCAGGGGAGGACACTGCTGCGAAATCAACTGACAAGGAGTCTCCCCATGATGATAAAGCTCCTACTGCCTCCAAAGAGGCAGATGTCAAACCTGCTAAGGACCCCACATCATGTGATAAGGAGAAAGATTCTGACAAAGAGCGAGAAAGGGACAGAGGGAAAGAAAGAGACCGCTGCAGCACTGCAGATCGTGAGGTAACTGATAAAAGGAAACCTAGTGTACCTAATCAGGAGAAAGAACATGCACAGGAGAAAGGCAGTGACCATGGCAGTGAACGCAGCTGCTCTTCCCAGTCTTCCAGAGACAGGCAATCTGACAGGCCTGAACCAACCTCTAGAAAGCCAGTAGGTAGAGAGACAACAACAGGCCTTGCCAGTAGGAAACCAGAGCATAGAGATGATGCAAGAGACCACTTAGGCACAAGATCAAAAGATGAGAGAAGTCCAATCAGGAGGAGAGTATCGCCCTCAAGGGTAAAGGACTTGCATACAGACTCTGGGAGAAAAACACTTGAAGCCCCACCGGAGTCGAATAGGAGTCCAAGTCCAAGCAGGAATAAGAGAGCATCATCGCAGAATGCCCCAGAGCCAAAACGAACTGGCCCAGAGGATAACAAAGGACACTGGCCATCCAGTAAAGAGAGCCAGGGTTCTAGGCATTCTGATGTGCGTCCTACAAAGGACCGTGAGCACAGGACTCCTCATAGAGCTTTGACTCCAGAGCCTAGGTCTGATGCAGAGAAAGGTGGCGTGCATGGCGACCACGTCAAAGTCCTATCGGCGCGCTCCACAAGACTGTCATCGGATTTAGCACGGGAAACTGACGAGGCTGCGTTTGTCCCTGACTACAGCGAAAGTGACAGCGAGACTTCGGACCCTGAGAGCAAAATGGAGCAGAGAGGACGAGAGCGGGACAGCAGTGGCAGCCAGAGCCCAAGCCCCTCTGGAAGCCATGGACCCAGCAGCAGCCCCAGCTCTCCGGGCAGTCAGGACAGTAAAAAAAAGAAAAAGGACAAAAAGGAGAAGAAGGAAAAGAAGAAACACAAGAAGCACAAAAAACACAAAAAGCATAAGAAACATACAAGTAATGAGTCTGAATCAGATCTCAAAGGACAGAAACACAAGCATAAGAAGAAAAAGTCCAAAAAGAGCAAGGACAAGGACAAAGATGACAAGGAAAAGGTTGAAAGTGAAAGAGATGAACATAAGGCAAAAGTCTCTGTTTAATTCATGTATAGGTTTAACCATTGATTTAATTTACTCAACTTTAAGAAGCATTGAAAAAAAAATCTATTGTTCTACAGAAAAGTTTAAGTACTGATTCAGCTTTCATTCTTTTTGCTAATTCTCACTGGTTAACACCATGTTTTTTTTGTGTGTGTGTGTGTGTGTGTGTGTGTGTGTCTGACCATGCTAACCTCTCCCACCAATGCAAGAGGACTTGAACGATAAAGGTTATTTAGGTTTTGAATTTTCATGAATATTTTTTTTTTTTCTCATTTAAAATTGTTGCAGATTCTCATTACATCATGGTTTTGAATTAAGGCCATTGTAGAGGAAGCACTTTAGAAATGTGAATGTGATTTTGCAGTTTTGCAAAATTTGCAGAGTTGCAAAAGCCCTTTTGTACCTCGATCTCTTGTATGTTTAAGTTGGATATAAACATATCATTATAACAGTATGATAATATTGTTACAGAGGTACAGGAGAGTGTCATCCTGGCATTGGGCCACACTGATTTACAAATTGTATGTTTTTGCTCTGTGAATATTTCCTCTACTCTTTCATTTTATTTGACTTCACCTTCACATGAGTAATTTAAATTATCTGCTGAAATGGAATTGTAAATTGAAATGTTCTGAGGGTAATAAATTTTTTTCAGCAAATATACATGTATAAATATGGTCTCATCTTGTTTATTCTCTTGCTTTGGTAATAAAGATTTCCAAGGAACCACAGTAGACTATTTCTAATTGTCTTTTTAATTAGTTATTGGTAATACTTTATTTTACATCGTTACATGTACTTAATGTAGCAGTAAACAGTAAATTATGCATACAACCAACCGTAGACCAAATCTTATTCCTAACCCTGTAGAAATATATATTACTCTACTTTAAAGTACACTGTAACTTAAGGTTAACGGTTATTTATTGTATGTACACCAGAATCAACTATTACATATTTGGAGATTTTTAACTAAATAAAATTGCACCCATCCGATGTCCCTATCCTATTACAATGAGATTAATTATTAACAGAACAGGCTTTTACATGCGTGTTTATGGCAATACTTTTTAACCTGTTTAAAAGCTTTTATTTCCTAGCCCAACTTCCGTTAAAAGTGTCTGACTGTGCTGGAACTTTTATTTATTTTAGAGAAAAATCTGGCATGAGTTGGAAATATTTTTGAGATAATCGTAATTGTAATCGAATGACATACCACATTTTAGACAGGGAAAACTTAAAATAGCTCCTACAAATGATCAGTTCAGAATTACACTCAGTCACACATCTTTTTCATGACTTCTGTGATGCCTTTCTTTTCTGTATTAGAAGGAATTTGTAAATCTTTTTATTTCCCAATGTCTACAATTAATCTTTGTTGTATATTTTTTAAATGAGATTTGATTTTGGGTTTGTTATAAATTAATTTTTAATACCTTAGTTCTACATTATTAAAATGGTTACTGAAATGATTCATATTAAAATGTATGTCTTGAATGTTGTGTCAACGAGAAGCCTCAGAAAGGGGTTGAATGCACTAATGCTGGAGAGGGTCATGGTGTAATCGTGTGGTTTAAACTACATGTAGTCAAACTGGGAGTTTTGTTTAAACAAAACTTGCTTTTGGTGGATTTTTTACTGTCCAGTTTCCCCAAAATAAGTTGAAACATGGATTCATCTGACCTCAGCACAGATTCCCACTGTGTTTTGGATCATCTGAGATGAGCTCGGGCTCAGAGAACTTAATTTTGACGCAATTCTCTGCATAGAATTGATGTAAAGCTTTCTCCTTGTGGAACAGAGATTCAAGTTGCATTTCTTGATGCAGTGGCAGACTGTTAAGTGGCAATGGTTTTCCAAAGTACTTCGGAGTCCATGTGGCGATTTTTAACCCAGTAGCATGATGGTTTCTCATGCAATGCCGTCTGAAGGGCTCAAAGGTCACGCTCATTCAACAGAGGTTTCCTGACTTTTCATTCATGGAGATTTCTCTGGATTCTCTGAAACTTTTCACAATATTTTGTATGGTAGATGGTGATAGAACCAAATACTTTGCAATCCTGCATTGAGAAATGTGGTTTTTGAATTGTTTGACGATTCTCTCATGAAATGAGAGAGTGACGAGTCAAGTGGCAAGCCATGACCCATCTTTGCTTGCAAAGACCGGGATGCTCCTTTTACGCCCAATCACGATACCGTCATCTATATTTCAGAACAGTTTAACTAGGATATTTGTTCCACTGTCGGTTTGCCTCTGTCCCAACTTTTTTGGAGTGTGTTACAGCCATTAAAATCTAAATTTGTTTACAAAATACTATTTATTTGCCTTGTGAAAACATATTTTTTTCTTTGTACTTTTGTCAGTTAAATAAAAGTTCAAGAGAAGTAAATCACAGAATTCCCACCAATACCACCTAAACCAGCAGTGAAGAATCCTTAAAACATTTAAATATACTTTAAAATAATACTGATAACATATGTTTTGACCAGATAAAATATTATTACTAAAGTTTACTATCTAAAATATAAAACAGACATAAGCCTACCTCAACCTGATATTCAAGCAAGATACCCTTGATCTGAAAGTGTTGCGTTTCCTCTTGACAGCCACTTGAGGACGGCAGACATCTTATATTTGTACCCATAACCTTAATTATACTGCCAATGACGTAGCTCGCGTGGTGAGCTGAAACCTGGGTACGTCACGAAGTGCGGAACATCCAATAGGAAAATTAAATAATCCAAAAGGATTGTAGTTCTCTGTGCAGGGATGCTGGAAACCTGCAAAAAAAGCCCACAGGACAGTGCACATTAGATGCAGGGGAGTCCGGCCCCCCCTCTCCAGACGTAATGAGTGGAGCTGTAACCCAGCAAACACAGAATGTTCCCCTAACCTAACGTTCCCGTATGGTTTCCATGAAAGATGCCTTTAATGGCAGCATATGTCTCCGTACAATCTCAATATAGGCCTACACCTTCAAGTTAATGGTATTGTCACGCACATCCAAGTCACCCATACCATTATAGCTGTTTTAGGTGGGGATGGCGCAGTGGATAAGACACATGCCTTTGGTGTGAGAGACCCGTGTTTGAATCCACTGTGTGACACCAATGTGTCCCTGAGCAAGACCCTTAACCCCTAGTTGTTCCAGAGGTGTGTGACCTCTGACATATATATCGCATTTGTAAGTTGCTTTGGATAAAAGCGTTAGCTAAATGTAAATTAGATGTTAAGTAAATGTTTTACTTTTGCCCTTTCTTAAGGTCTGGATGATCTTAAGGTTAATTTTACTCATTTGGTTATTTTTTGGGAACCAAACAACTAGGAACGTTCCCTGTAGGTTATTTTTAGGCTTTGTTTTTATAACCAAAAACGAATGTTCCCAGAACGTAAAAATAATTGTTTGCTGGGGAGTTCCAGCCACACCCAATCCTGTCTCGAGCAATCTAGAAACTGCTTCTAACCACAGTTCGAGAGCTGTCGTTCCAACCACACAACTTTGCGATGCCGTTTGCGAATGTTCGTTGTTCCAATAATGGCCCTGCCTATCCCTAAACCTTGTTAAGTCAACAAGATCCACCCAGGTAGACAGAAGAATACCTTGTCCAAATACCCACACTTGCGGCACTTGACCACTTCAACTTGCATGTCATATTTCCTCTACTTATCTACTTGCATGACATATTTACTCTATTTGAGCCAAGTTTTGAAGCAGGCATAAAGACTGCAAGTGTGTGTAGAACTTTTGATTACTTGATGGGACACACTTATAGTCTTACAAAATATGAAAGTGTTTACAGACCTTTTATTTATTATATTTTCAATACTTTGCATTTTAAAATAAACTTTTATATGTCTGTTCAGTAGTTTAGAAGATTTAAATCACAAACCGCTTGTATGAGTTTAGTGTGCATTATTAAGGGCACTGCACTTTGGCATTTTTTACTTCCTGTTGTGTGCACACCTCTCAAGGGGCCAAGACTGCAAGTGTGGGTATTTAAACAAGGCAGAAGAGTTAAACTAGGCCAAGGTCCACCCATTATGTCCAGAGAGGGGAAACTGGAGGTCATTTGTTTCTACAGTGTGCTTCACAATTCTTAGATTGATGCCTCCTCGTTAAAAGAACGAGGAAGCTTCCAGATGAGCACGAGTAAGGATGCAGTCAGAGGTGCTTCTCATTTCTAATGTGTGCATGGTTCCCTTTCCTCGCTACCTTTCCTCACCGCTCAGCTCCATTGCATTGCCCTTAGGATGCGAGGGAAGAATGCAAGGAAAGAAATTGAGGATGGAGGAAGCTAAGGAAATCCTGTGTATTAAAATATTCTTGATCAAGCGACCCCAAAGCGTAATATGCTGGAGGGATCTCCCCTGTTGTTGAAGTTGGGTTATTTAAAAGATTCATGATATTGGGCTAATAAAAGATGCCCTGTTGAAATATGTAACATGTAGCCTGGTTTATTTAAACTGTCACCATCCCCCTACCGGGACGCCTAACTTTACTTCACTATATTTCTATTAAATCCCAATCTAATTATGACAAATTATAGTATCATTGGAAAGGTCTAAGACTTCTAAATAAATATTCTACCCCTGTTTTGTGTTACAAATTATGTAGGAAGAGTGTCAAGAGTGCACCTCAAAATATCTTTTGTAAATAAATAAATATAAAATATTTTGTAAAATATATTATATACAAAGTATAAAAATTATATAGTAGGCCTAGCTACAGTAGGCCTATATTTGATTTACTGTAAATTTAAACTTCCATAACTTTTTCATACTTTCATTTGTTTTCACTTCAACAATAATCTGCTGAGTGTTTCCTTTCCTTACAAGACCACTTGGCTATATCATTCTTGAATAACAACCATTCTCAAAAAGGGGGGTGACTGCTAAGGGGTTAAACCGCAAAGGTAGCTAAAACAAATTAACAAATGTCTCATCTAAAAACACTGCATTAATAATATCATTAAATAAAGAATGAATTATAGGCTTATTAATTCAGTGAAGACTATGCAGAGTTTAATTTTACATTTAAGGCTTATATTTCCGTGTTAGGCTAGAACTAACTGAATTGGCTACTGTTAAATAGACTCATTGTTTGTATATTGTTTGTCCAGTAAAGCTTTTCCATCTAGACTTAATTTCAATGTAGATTACGAAAAAAATTTGGAATGAAACAGATCCCCTCATATTTTTGTTTGTTTTCAACACAAGAGGGCGCACAAGGTTATTCAGCCGTGGGAAAAAAAGGTGCAGCATTCAGTTAGTAACATGAGGGCATATTGAAGCATCTTCGTGTGTGGAAAGTTCAGAGCGAGTCAAGTATTTAAGGTTTGTTAAAATTCTCATCCCAAAATGCTACTTTTTAGTCACATTGCTCTCAGCAGAAGGCAACTATCAAGGGGAAAGGCCTTTGCTTTATTGTAAGCCACATTTCAGAAACAAAGATGGTGCTTCACATGTTGACAACAAACAAGCCAGCAGTCATATGGGCATTTTTGACTTATATTATTTTTGTATTATTAATTCTTCCTTGATGCTCTCTTCTCGGGTCTCTCGTAGTTGAAGGTAAAAAAATGTTATTCTTTAAGAACTTCAACATGCAACTAAAGTGTCTTGTATGGATTCCATGTCAATGCACATAAGAAAATTCAGCCTCAATTTGGGTCAAACTGATGTAATGCATATTTTTGAGTCATGAACAGTGTGTTCCGTTGTTACAAGTTTCAGTTGTTAAATAACATTTCAAAGTATTAAAATTCATTTTTGACTGTTTTTATGTCAGGTGGAACAACCAAACAGATGTTTGTGTGTGTGTGTGTGTGTGTGTGTGTGTGTGTGTGTGTGTGTGTTTGTGTTTGTCTAATGATCTCAACAGCTTTAAAGGGATAGTTCAGGGGTAGTATGCTTTAGCTTAGCTTAAGGGCATCCAAGATGTGTGTGTTCTGTTTCCACAGTATTTTCAATTTTGCAAGGAAGATATAAATACTGTTCTATAACCACTCGTTCCGTGTCTTAGGCCATCAATGTGTACTTGTTTAATTTGGACTTCTCTGTGCATGCTCTTTGAGGTGGGCTCCATAGACTTCCATTATATGACTGATAAACAAGAACGGTTTGACCTAAAAAATATCAAAATTGAAAATACTGTGGAAACAAAGACACCTCCATCTTGGATGCTCTTGAGGTAAGTTAAAACATATAAAAAAATAATTTCAAAGTGAACTATCCCTTTAAAACTATATTTATAAAATGCGTTCATATGAAAGGTTTAAAATCTAAAACGATGCCATGATATTTAATTAAAATATATTATTATTAATAGTTGATTCATTTGTTCGGACAGATGCACCACGTGACATTTGGGGGGTTTATACTATGTGTATTATTTAAATGTACCAAAAATGAATTCAAACTAAATATGTTTTCTAGAATAAAGTGATGTATCATGAATTTATCAAAATGATTTTGCACACAAAAATATGCATGTCATGTCATTGACCCATTTATATTGTTAGATGATACAAAGTAAACATGATAACAAAAATGCATCAGTTGGTATTGAGCTGAAAAAAGAGCATTCCCTTGGTGAGCTGGCATAGTGTTGTGGGTTAGCACCAGCATATATGTCCTGTGTGTGTGTCCTCACGAGAGTGTTTGCCCCCTTGTGTTGTTGCTTCTAGTTTCCACCAGTCTCCCCCTGCCGCCATGTCTGGCTCTGCTTTCAGTGTGCTGAGTGTGCTATAATCTGCTAAAACCTGCTGCCATACACTGCGCTCTGGCAATCCTTTCTACTGCTGGCCAGGTAAGGGCAAATCTTCCATTCACCCGTAAATACACATTCAGAGGAAAAGAAGGCTATAGATATGGGCCTGTAACTCTTTTTACTTACAATCGTAGCAACTTTGCCCGTTTACCAAATGGTGCAGTTGACGTGTTTCTGTTTGTTCTTGAATGTTGTCCAGGATTTGGCCGTATCTTGTGACATAGTTGCATATTCCATTTTTGTGGCTGTGCCAGAGGTTCATTGCGCTGGTACACGCAGCCACAGGAATAATGATTCTGTATAAGTAAAAATAAATATGACTGTGATTGTCACAAAAATGTGACTATTTCTGACGGTTTGTTACAGTGACTTCCAAAAATATACTTTTTCAAAAAAATAAATTTTAACATTTATGTATGTATATTTTTTAGCTCTGATCCAGGTCTTTCACACTATTTTGAGCCTTGTTTGGTACTGTGTCCAGGATCCATGCCAAGTCTACCTCATTAAAATGAAGCATATGCAGATCTGCCTTGTTGAAGCTAATGGTGACATTTAATTGCTGTGTCTGGTCTTCAGTGATTGGTGAACGTGCGATATTTCTTAAAGCTACAGTAGGTAACTTTTGTAACCAAATATTTTTTACATATTTGTTAAAACTGTCATTATGTCCTCCTGACAGTAGACTATGAGACAGATAATTTGTGAAAAAATCTGATAATTGCAGATATTTGCAGAAATACAACTGTGCTCCCGGTCAGAAACAACCAATCAGAGCCAGGAGGAATGTCTTAGCAGTGTCAATCACAGTTGAGTACGCGCTGATCACACCCCTCTCTTACACAGCGCACCGTCATTCAAACCAAACTCAAGATTGCCGGTGTGTCGCAACTGTGCTAATGGCGGAGAAACAACCTAAACTGCCAATTTCTCGAGTGCCACTGCTCATAAAACAAATAATGACAATAAACAAGCGAAAAAGCCACTATTTCAAGGACAATTAGGAAGAAAACAAATCAAAAGCTTTTATGTAACTCAAATATTTGATATTTTTTCCACAAATATGCCTATTTTATTTATTTTTTAACAATTATTCCATAATTTAGTTCTGGGCCTAAAAGTACTAAATTAAGTTATAACTACATATTTATAACTTATAGAAAGGGCCCAACATTATAAAGTTAAATTATGTATTGCAAAATAAGTAATGATTTGAGAACAAAGTTTGTAATCAAAGTATGGGCAGGCCTTTAGCCGCCTTTCCACTGCACACGACAAACGACCGCCGTCGGAGTGGAAGTCATTCATTTCCAATGGAGAGTCGTACGGGAGCTGCGGGGAGTTCCGATCATATGCGTATGCGGAAAATTCGGATCCGTTTTGAGCTTTGGATCCGTTGAAATATCTGAACTTCTGCGGCTAGACCGTATGCGACCTGCCAAACGGAAGTGATGTATTCTAATAAAAACTATGAGCGCGAGGCTAGAATTACCAATATTTTAACTCTTCAATGTTTTTTCTGTAAACGCTCGCTCTATAAAATGTTGGTTATAATTAACTATAGCAGAAAAAATATTTTATAACTATTAAACCAATATTTATACTACTATATTTTTATTTGAGATGAATTGAGGGTCATTTGTTTTGTGTAGATATATTCATGCATGTATTACATTTATTAAAATCATTAATTTTACCATTGTGAATAGCCTAGGGTAACGGTTGCTTCACGACCAATTTCAAAGTTCCGTGCGACTGACACTAGGGGGCGAAATGCGACAATCGTATGCGAATGTCCTGTGCAGTGGAAAGGCGGCTTTAGTCAATGTAAAGCATATTGTAGATGTTTTGTCCCTACTAGTGAATGTGCCATAACTGGTTATCCGCCGTCATTGGTGTCGCTGTGGGGGAGGAGCTGTGGAGGGAGGGCTGTGGAGCAGCAGAGAGCAAGGGGGTGGGACCTGTAAGTTGTGCTTGTGCAAATTTTCAAGCTAAATTAACGTTTTCTCAAATGTTACCTACTGCAGCTTTAAGGTGGATGTTTTCTGTTTTCCTTCATGCTCTTGTCAGGAAATCTCTTGTTAATAGGTGTTTTTGCATGTATTTTCAAGACAACCTCGTCTTTGAAGATTGAATGCTTTGAGGTGCTTCTTGTGGGGAGGTGTTGTTTCTTTCACATTGCTTCCTGTGAAATTGATTCGTTCCCTCCATTTCCATGTTCAGCGCTGCTATAAAGGCCAAAGTCGAGATGTTTCGTGCACCGCCAGAACATCCTCTGGTAAACAAGGAGGTTCAGAAGAGCTGGTGACTCACATCCAGCAGCTTCTTTAATGAGTGTGTCTGGTCTAGCAGTAGATCTCTGAATGGCTCTCCACTCACCTGGCACAGTCACACAGATTCAGTGCCAGAGTCTGGTAGCCTCCATATGCTTGCCCCGTCAGACTCTTAAAGGCTTCCACATACTGACAGTAACTCTTTATCTTTATCACGTTTTGAATCTAACAGTAAGAAACTTACATGGGATTCATTTAAAAATTGATATTTTGTCCCCGAATCCAACAACCGATAGTTTCAGGGCTAATAGCTAATTGTTACTCAACAAAACAAGAAAATTTACTTGGGACATGTTATGAATGGAAATAAATTAAACAATATTTGGCAAAGGAGATCCTTAAATGTATTGTTGCAGTGATGCAGTCGAAAAAAGATATACACCAAATTGATGCATTGTGTAAAAAATTAACATTACTAATTTTGAGGGATATATTTGAACAAAAAAAAAAAAAAAACATTTAAAATCCCCATAACAGAATTACATTTATTTTGTGTGTAAACTATCCATTATGTACCAATTGTACCAGTGTGGCGAATGTAGTGAATGATGCTGTTTCAGAGTTTGAAGGGTGCATCTTAAAGATTCTTGAACCATTTCTCACAAAACGAAATTTGATCTGCTTTACTCGGTTTACTATATAGAATAACATAAAAGTTGGGTGATTGCTTTGGCTGGCGATGTGGCACTAAATCAGTGCTGGGTGGCAGTATTGTCTTCTGTGCACAGGTTCATGCAGGCCACAAAGCGGTTGCTCTGGTATTATTGGAGCTGTTTTTGTGGCTGCAGTGGCGAGAGGTGCTGATTGCATCTCCTGTATGCTTGTATGCCACCACTGCTGCCTGGCCCGCCCTTGACCAGAGCTGTGCACAGAATTTCAATGAGCTTTGTGAAGGAAAGAGACGTTGTCTGCCTCACTGTGAGTGTGTCTGTGTGTGTGTGTCTGGTTGGTTTCATAGCTGGTTCGGATGTTGAGAGGTTTGTGCAAGCTAGTGTTCCACTAGTTTAGTTTATTCAAGCCAAACAGGGATGGGCACTGCCAATAAAGGGCCAGGTTTCCTTTAGATGATCTAACAAAACCTGTCAAGAATATGTTCACATTATATTTCACTTCAAATACATTTAAATTAAATAAATATATAGTAAAATTGTATGTTGTTTAGATGTTGATATATTATTGAAATTGTACACTACCTTTCAAAAGTTTGGGGTCAGTAAGATAGTTTAATGTTTTTGAAAGAGTTCATTTTGAAATGAATTTTTGGTATGTTTTAGCTTACCTCAAGGGTTTCCGAGATGTAGGTGTCTTTGTTTCCACAGTATTTTCAATTTTGAAATTTTTAGGTCAAACTGTACTTATCTGTCGTGTCAGTCATATAATGAAGGTAGAAGTCCAAATTAAACTTGATTTAATGACTCGTAAATGTAAGTACACATTAATGGCCTAAGACACGAAACGAGCGGATTGTGTGAGAAAACCAACAGTATTTATATCATTTTTACCTCTTGTAACCACAGCTACATCCAAGTAATCTGAGGGCGTGGATGTTTTGGTCTGCGCAAGCACCGAAAGTGATCTCTCGCGCGTGTACATCACTCATTGTTTACACAGAAATTTCGGAAGCGTTACCTTTCACTGTGAAGATCTAAACATATTTAGATACAAGAAATCACAATGGAAGACGATTTCGATATATCAACAGACAACGTAACTGTGATCATTTATCCCCCATGATTCTTTGATGAATATCAGAATAATGAAGATCAGAACATTTCTTTTAATACAAATCTTTTGCATCATTATAAATATCTTTACGGTCACTTTTGATCATTTTTAATCATTGCTAAATAATACATTTTTTCTAACCTTTAATTTAGGTTTTAATTTAATTGAATTATTCCAATAACGAAAAACAATTTGAGAATGTAAATGAAAATTAAAAAAAAAAATCTAAACAAATAATAAAATATTTTTAAATGTTTTATTTGTTATAATTTACAGTATAATATAATATATAAATTATTTTTCCTTATTAATTTAATAATTAATTAATTTGTTAATTTAATATATATATATATATATATATATATATATGTGTGTGTGTGTGTGTGTGTGTGTGTATATATATGTATATATATAATGTAATTTAATATATTAAATTATAATATATTAATTTATTAATTTAATTATTATTATTTTCTTTTATTTATAATTTTATATTATAATATACACATACAATCATTTAGATTACAGTGAAATGTTACTCTTATGGGTGTTCAGTTTCGATCCCAGGCCCGTCTCATGAAGACTTATGCAGATAAATGCCCATCAGATCATCAGCTGTTGTCCAGCAGAGCAGATTGTGTTTAGGTGCACCAGACTGGGGTATGGAGAGTGTTGAGGAAGAGCAGAGTGTCAGAGCTGTTGTCTGGGTGCATGACAGTGTGGAAAAGTGTGTGTGCATTTACACAATGGTGGCTATATCAGCCTCTCACCCTGAAGCAGAGCTGGTTAGAACAGGGACAAGTTTGTCTGCTTGCAAGGTATCCATTGCATGTGTGCCGCAATGTAGAGTGCGCGTTGCAGCTCAGGAGTGGCAAACGGCCCTGCTGATTTAGCTGTTAACAAAGGCAAGCATTCAAATGAATTAGGCTCTGCTCCAAAAAGGGGATCATGGGGGGATGGGCGGGGGTTAGCTGATAAATATTCATTGAAACTCAGGCATTTCTGCAGTGTTCTCACTCTCACGCCAGGGCTCTTTCTCTGTCGCAGCTCCTTTCATTCGCCCTTTTTCATTTTGATCTGCATGCGTGATGCCACCTGCACAGAGAGGCTGAGGGAATCAAAAAGGAACCAGAAGATGGTGCCCCCTGGTGTTCCCCTATCATTCCTCTCCATCTCACTGTCTCCCAATATTCCCCTAGGTAGGCTACTCCAACGGGTCTGGGCTACTCCTAGCCCGGGGGATCTAGGTTTGTCACGTGACCCACGTTCATGTGGACTGCTTCTCGACACCACGTGTGATGTGTGAGTCAAAAAGAAGAGAGTGAAAGACAAGCAGTTAAACTAATAAATGGGAAAATCCTGATTTTTCTCTGCATGTCCCCCATTACCTGTCGTCAGGCAGGTTGTTTGAGTGTATGTGTCAGTATGTGTGTGTGTGTGTGTGTGTGTGTGTGTGTGTCGCTGGAGCGGTGTCTGTGAACAGCCTGACTCTGATTATATGCTGCAGCCACTGGCACTTGGGTAAGTTCCCTGACACTCGCATCCATTC